ACTAATATGTGCGTTGAACTAGTGAGAATTTGAAAGCATATGAGTTGGTTTGTTATCCATGAATTTTAGCAACGATGATTAAATGTAACTGCCTTGTTTTCTTGTCATTTCGAGGCTTCATTGTTATCCACTTTAAGCTTTTTTAGTCTCAGTTTCATTGAAGAAAGCTCAAATTATTTCATTTTAAAACGCGTTATTTATTTTAAATTTTTTGAATTAAAATTTGCGCTTCTCATTGGAAGGTACTACTAAATGTGTAGTTAGTTTAATGGTGGGAAAAAATAGGTGACATATTTTTTGCTACATTGCTGTAATCAAATTTTTGACTTATGATTAAGTGTGGATTGTGAAAATTGGTTTAAGTAGTTCTCTAGACAAATATTTCTACAGCAGTTCTTATAATACAGCAAAAAAGTAAGCGTTTACATAGATGTATAATGCTAAGGTATGAAAGGATTATATGAAGTAAAAATATTAACGAAAAATATGCAAGCTTATATGCATCATTGGTATCGAAAGAGAGAAATGCAGGGAGTGATGCATGGAATGAATGGATGAATAAATAAATAATTGAATGATTGATTGAATGAATGAATAAATAACAGGAGAAGCGCTGTTGGAAAGGTGTTGTTACATAAGATCTCAGTTGCCTGAAATTAGCGGATAGAATGTAATGAAAAGAAAAGAGAAGAAAGCAGTCAGACGGGAGATATTTTTATTTATTAAAATATGCTTGAAAGTTAAATGAATTTTGATAGATATTTTTGTGAGAAATGTATGCTGTCGAGCAGTGAAACAACTTGCTTATCACCGCTACCTTTGCTTTACTTTCTTTCTTGACCATTTTTCATTTCCACCTCCACCACTATTGGCCTTTTTTATTTTGTACTTATCATTTTTCATTTAGCTACCAAAAGTTTTCGATTTTGTATGATTACAATTACAGTGAAGTAACTTATAAGGCAGCCCAGTCGCTAATACTATACTACTGTTATATCTACCGAAATCATATAAATACTCAATGGGTGCTATAGTCATAGACTGTTATGAATGTTTTTCTTTCCGGAACATTATTGCGTATTTTTTTTGTTTCATTTATATGTAAGCATCCTTCAAGATAATTTTTTGAAAAGTCGTTAGCCATTTTAACTTCAGCAAGCATTTTAAATTACATATCGCAAAGTGGATAGGCTTGTTGTGAGTTAAACATGCAAATATTTGACATATCGACTTAGTTCTAGATGCACTTTGTACCCATTATGCAATGCTTTCCTGAGTCTCAAAAGTAATCCAGATGTAATTTAAGATTTTAACGCATATCTTTGAAGCATTTACAATTAATGTGTTCGTGTTCAAATCAATATTTAATCAAGTTGATGCTTGCGATTGTGGGTTATGAGGAAGTATATTATATAAAAAGAGAGATTAATAATGAAACGGCGGTGTTGATTAGTGGCGGATAAAATGCTATTGGATAGGATGTATGAGATTATGAGTTATGAGCTTAGACCACACTGCGAAAAGTATTATTTTGGAAAGATGCAGACTTTGGAACCCTTTAAAGTGTATCTGGCTGACAAATGCATATTATATTTCTTTTATATGAATTTTGCTGCTGTCTTCAACTTCACAAATTCATCCTTTCATTTTCGTTTGTAAGATGATTGCTTTTGTACATGTTGTATGTGCATATCATGCTCTTTCAACCATTTATTTAGATCATGGACCAAATGTACAGTTCCTTTATTGTACATCTAAAATTGACAAAATAAATGTCCACTGCAGTCTTTCTCTCAGCAACACCAACTTCTTTTCATAATCATCCCAGAAAGGTTATGCTCGTCATTTAAATTAATTACAATGAATAACCTTATTGACATTTTAATCTAACGATATGCTGCATTGTCTAGCCTAGTTTGGATATGATACTTAGAATACATGGAGAGCACTTTTCAAATTATAGTTATTATAGTTCAGCTGTTTTACGGAACGAAAAAAGTACGAGCTAATATATATTCGTATTATATTAAAAAAACATGTGCACTGTTAAATGTTTACATCTTTTTTTTTCACAATATCTTTACTTCATCTTTGAATTTACCATTTATTGATGAAAACTTTCAATTAATAACACTTTTCGAAGTAAACAAATTGGGATCTTAAAACCTTTCTGATCATCAGTTTGTATTTCATCTTTTCTAGTTACATTCATAACATAGCTTGAGATGAAAATTGCATTTAAATTTATAGTTGTACTTATTATATGGTGGAATTTCTTTCATCCTTAATGATGAATGTGATACAGAATGAATGTGTCCAATATATTTTTCCCAAACAATATTGAAAAGTCAGGAAGTATTATTATTATTATTATTAGAATTAGCATTAGCATTACTATTATTATTACGATTAATATTACTTACTGGACAATGCTTTCCGTTTTGCATTTTCCAAAAAATATGCAATCAGGTAATTGTTGAAAAGGAGAATTAGGTTGGGTGAAAAGGGCTAGTTCATATGAGAACGTTTAGATTATTTATCGCTCGTAAAACATCTGTTTCAATCGTTTTCAGATGTACTGAACCTCTTGGAAGCACTGTGATGTTTTTTTACTAGTAGCAGCAGCACAATCTGTCATTCTTTACCTATCACGTGAGCTAATTCTGCAAAGCATCACATCCATCCATTTCTCTTACAGAAGTGATGCTGCCTAATTTTTCTTTCATTTCTCCTGAGGCTTTTGTTCTTAAGATAAGAAACAGAGTTTCAGCATGAATTCTTCAGCCCTCCTCTCTCGCATTCTGAACCATTTCTTCGTTAAAAGTTTGTTATACCATGATAGCATGTTGAATAAAATTTTGCTTTCTTCATGATTTGAATGCATCTATATGATTATGGTTAGTATTATGACTACTAGTTGTTACATAAAATATGTAATAGACGAGGAGTTATGATTGTATTACTTTAGTTATTCGTATGAGATTGTCATCGAAAGCAAACAATTTCGTTTTCTGCTGAAAAATATGAAGCAGAAGTTAATAGGTTAATCATCAGTTGTGTTTATGGCTACTAGCGATTAGTTATTAGTTAACAATTGAGCTTAATGAAGGGTAATACGCACTTCGGCACAAATATTTTGACGCTTACTTTATGGCCATGAAGTTAAGAATTAGTCATTACTCTTGCCTATCAAGTAGAGTAGGTGCATGTGTAAGTAGTTCAAAATCAAATTAATCAAAGTGTTATAATCTGTTAAACATGCATTTATTAAACTGGTTTGAAGGATGAATGGACATTCTATATCGGAAATCGAACATTTTATATGGATGTTATGTCCATGATTTGTTATTGCCTTGAACGTTGTGCTTAGGAACTTGGTTATTAATAATAGTGACTGAAAGCGAATTGAAAATCACTGTGTTTACTATCCATGAATAATGTTATGTAATGCGGTTGGTTACCTTTGCTCATAGCAAAATATTCTTTTTAGCATATTAATTTAATTTATGATTCACTAGCGGTAAATTTAGTCCCAAATGAGATTAAATTGTGTGCTATAGTCCATTTCCTGACTGATGTAAATGAAAAACAATTTGCATTTGCTTGCCAGAGAAGTTTCTCAGGAATAGATATATGTCTATTTTTATATATAAGAAGCTATGCAGGAAAAAAATTATAATCGATGAAGGATTCATTTTTTGCCGTTGAATATTATACTTTCTGGTAAGGAGGGTACAAGTTGAAAACAATAGATAAAGTAATTTTTTCAGTAGCCACATCTCATTTCTTTGAATAATTTTATGTTTCTTTTTTTTGGGTATACATTCAGACTGCAAAAAATTTCATGCCTTCATCATTTTTGAAATAGTATAGTGGCAGTTTAAACAATTCCTCAGCTGTCTTCTCTTTACTACTAGGAAAGGAGAAGTTTCAATATAAATCTCATTTGTAGGAGTTACCACATAAACATCACGAATTGAGAATTTTCTCTCACTCTTGCAAGTTGGTGCAATAAATAACCGTTGAAAAGTAAGATACGGTAGTAACATGTCTCATATAGTTGAAGATTAAATGTGTGTCAGACACTGTTACACGTTCATCGCAATTTTTGAATTATCTAGAAAGTAATCAGTTGTAAAGGATTGATTCGAGAAAAAATGTTTCCTGTAAAATATGCTAGAGAGTTAACAATAATTATATGTGAAATTTTCTATTCGCAATAAAAAAAATGAATTGCATTGTATAAATAACCACTTTGCCTATGAATAAGATGTATGTATCTATTTAATGTTCAGTACTAGATTCATTGTATGGATTGTCCAGTGAACATGGCCAAATAGTCAAAATTTATCATCATCAAAATTGGGGATGTATAAAGTATGAACTTTTATAGCTTTTAAGATGACAGTATTATATACGTAATAATAATCGAGATTTTTCTGTTCCTTCTGTTGCTTTTTTGTTTTGCATTTTAAATTCAGTACGTTATCAACTGACAATCTTTTTCGATATTTCCTGCTGCTCTCATTGATAGTTTTGCTTTCTAAGCTACTTTTTAATCTAAACTTTCGAACTCTTTGTTATCATCATTTGTAATCATTGTGGCATCAATGCCTTAAATAAAAAACAGCATTTATTGTATCTTATATTTCTCATTCGTATCTCTCTCTACTGGTATTCCAACTTGATATTTGAAGAAAGTTATCAGTTGTCTTTTTTTCTTAAAGCAATCACTGATCAAGTATTGGTCTTTTTTATCAGCCGTTAGCTATCAAATTTTGTCAAGAAACACAATTGCTGAAAATCTGGTTAAATTTCAGTTTTTCTTTTCTCGAAATCAGTGAATATAATACGTGCATTATATATTGGATATATTGTCCACTAGTGAAGCTCTTAAAACGATAGCTACAAAGCTACATTATTTATTAGCTGAAATGTGTGGAGAATTAATGCGTATCTGGTAATCACGCTTCGGCAGTTGTGCCTTTTGCTATCCGTAAATGGCAACAACTTCAACCGGCGCTGAGAGCGCTGAAACCGTTAATACGAACAATACGGCAGCGCAAAGTCGAGCTACTACGGATAGAGCAATTAAAAGTGAGTTGCCTCTCTCTATGGTTTGTCATATTTACTTCTCTATGACTTTTCTTATTTACTGAAAGCAAAACTTTTCCATCTGAAAAAATATATATATGTTACTGAGGCAAGTCTTAGTCTTGAACATTAGCAGCAATTTGGCAGAAACAATGACATTGTTATCTCTATTTGATAAAGTTGTGATCTTTATGGCTCATTTAAAGTGCACAGTCTTTCATGTATTGTCGTCTTTGAATAAATTATCAGTAATAACCATACTCATGAAATGTTGAAATTACATATCTGAAAGAAATAGTCCCTAATTTTTGAGTATATCATGTGTCGCTCTTTCTCAGGTGTTCAATTTCCAATTAGTGATAAATTGAGTATGGAAGATGTTTATGACAGGCGGACATCGAAGCCACGCGCTGATATTCTGAAAGAACACTTCACTAAGGAAGGTCGCATCCAAGAAGAGGTAATTTTTTAGTTTCCGTATTGCTTCAAAATTATTTTTTATTTTTATTATGTATTGCTTGATCAGTAACCATCATGGTGCTAATGCATAACACTGAAAAAAAAATTAGTCTCTTATGTAATCAAAGTATAATATATATTATATGCACAGAGAGAGGAAGACAGACTAGCAGATAAAGGAGTTTTTGATGTTTTGCTAAATTTTTTGAAAATATAAGAAGCACCTAGTTTAGGTAGCTCTAAGAATAATTTCGGAATGCACTAATCTTTTTCGTCAAGAAAAAACTATGCTTGATGTCGAAGCGCCAGTGACTGTTTGTGGAGATATACATGGACAGTTTTACGATCTAATGAAACTTTTCGAGGTTTGTTTTTCTACTTTTTTGTATAGCATACTTTCTTTAGTTGTGTGTATAGAAAAGATAATATATTGATATTGATAAATGCATTTTTTGAAGAACTTTTTTCCAACACATTCGGTTGTTTTATGTAATGAAAGTAAACGTGAACTAGTCTTCATTAGTTGATTTGTGGGAACAGTCCAAACATTGAGACGGGTTTAGGTTATGTTTATTATTGTTTACTCACTGTTTAGTATTAGGGATTTTTAAAAGTTAATCAAATAGTTGATTTTTAAAAATTTTGGTTTTTTAGTATTTTGGTTACGAATTATTTTGACGTGTAAAAATTTAGGTAGGAGGTTCTCCAGCATCAACGAAGTATCTTTTTTTGGGAGATTACGTCGATCGGGGTTACTTTTCTATTGAGTGCGTGTTGTATTTGTGGGCACTTAAAATTTGTTACCCAACAACTTTGTTTCTACTACGTGGAAATCATGAATGCCGTCATCTTACCGAATATTTTACTTTCAAACAGGAATGTAAGTTGTGACTCTTTCATAGAATTGAAATAAAAGATATTGTTGAATCTTAGAAATATAACCTGGAAGCAAAGAAAATTAATTTGTTTGCTTGTTTTTTTGTTTATTTCAGGCAAAATTAAATATTCAGAAAAAGTGTATGATGCATGTATGGATTCGTTTGACGCTCTCCCTCTTGCGGCACTTATGAATCAACAATTCCTTTGTGTCCATGGCGGCCTTTCTCCAGAGATTCATACCTTAGAGGATATCAAAAAAGTATTTAGTTTTGAAGATGTGGACTTTTTACAGTACAAAGTTCATTAATATCGGTGTGGTATTCGAATTCTGTATCTAATATACTTTAAAAGTCATTTGACTACAGTCAAAGTTTATTTTTAAGCTTGATCGATTCAAAGAACCACCAGCTTTCGGACCAATGTGTGACTTACTTTGGTCTGACCCTTTGGAAGATTTTGGTAACGAAAAGAGTTCAGAGCAATTTTCGCATAATTCTGTCCGTGGATGTTCGTATTTCTATAGGTTCGTTTTCTCCGAAAATTTCGAAAGTCACTAAAGATTTTGTAGTGATTCGTAAGAACTTCTAATACCTTGAATGATATTTCTCCCAGCAAGTCTGGTAATCTTCGTATATGTAGATATAATATGCATGATATTTCTCCCAGCGGGAAGGATGTAGATCTTCGCAATTCTTTTGGAAGTAATGCTTTCTCTTGCAAGCCTTAATACTTTATAAAAAGTTTGGAGAGCGGCAACGAGACTTGTCATACAAGCAAATATTTGCTCATGATTTCTTTTTTAGCTATGCAGCATGTTGCGATTTTTTGCAGCATAATAACCTTCTGTCAATAATACGTGCTCATGAAGCCCAAGACGCCGGGTAAAGTATTATCCTTTCTGTAGTCCGTAGTGATCAAATTAATTTTCGATTTGACAATAAATTCCTAAAACTTTGTAAAAAAATGCCTGCTTGTACTTTATTCCAATGACATATTTGTACATACTTTCATTTTATTAGTTATTTTTATTTTGTAGGTATCGTATGTATCGGAAATCACAAGCTACCGGGTTCCCTTCTTTAATAACTATTTTTAGTGCTCCAAATTATCTTGATGTATATAACAACAAAGGTATGCTTTTCATTTATTCTTCCGAGATTTTTTAAAAGGCGAGTATTATTTCTTTTCATGTTTTATCTATGATCCAATCTGTAAATCTGTTAGCTATATTTATGAATGAGTCTTATTAAAGCTGCAATACTTAAATATGAAAATAATGTGATGAACATACGACAGTTCAATTATTCACCCCATCCATATTGGCTGCCTAATTTTATGGACGTATTTACATGGTCTCTTCCTTTCGTTGGGGAAAAGGGTTAGCTTAAAATATTCATTATAATCAGGTGCTTTAAAGAACAATGCTTTTATCAGTCATAATATTTGATTGTTTAGGTTTTTTTTCTCACATGATTTTTCTTCAAAAATTTCTTTTTTGTGTTTTAAACTTTATTTCTTATTTAAATTTACTACCAAAATATCGCCAAGTTGAAAAGTTTTAGTAACAGAAATGCTTGTGCATATATTGAACATTTGTTCGGATGATGAATTAATGGCTGATTCGGATGATACATTTGAAGGTAAAATATACATTTTTATTATTCAAGCTCTGATCCGTTTATTAGTTTGTGCTCCATTAGTTTTTTAATATCATTTATGCACACATAGGTTTCGATTTATTTTGAAGCTTTGTTTTTTATCAGATAAAAGTTGTTAATCAAAAACTTTTCTGCACTTTTTCAGTATTGTATAATGTTGTTTATCTTTGTTCGCATTATTTCCAGCATGTTTGGATATAAATAAACATTATAGTTCTCAGCATGTAAGCATAATCTTGAAGATCGTTGGAGGGAAAATGTATTTTTAGTCCTCCTAATATGACGTCTATTTAAAAATAACTATAATACTTTTTTATCAGTTCTTTATAAGGTTTGCGAACGTTTTTTATAGTACTACGCTTGATGTTCTTGCATTATATTTCACTTCATTTGGATCTAAGAAAGACAAGTGTTTTATCTTATATTTTAGTCTGGCAAAATATATGCATTATTGTTGTTATCAGAAATGTGCGACCATTTTTGATTTAGCGGATGCTAAAGCTTTAGTTGTCTAATTCGCCACTTTTTTTTAAATATCGGTGTGAAAAGCTATCCATTACATTCTTGCAAGAATTCAGATTTATTTTTCAATGCTTTTAATTTTATTTACTCAAATTTAATTTCGCCTTTTAAAGAATCTTTTGATTTATTATATTATTTGAGAAGCGTCTTTATTTTTTAGCTTCGGGCTTAAATCAGCTTTTGACCGTTTTCATATATTATACTTGCTATCCTATTTTTTCGATTTTGTGACTGGAATTTTTAAATAATTATTGCTTATCATTCTAACAGTTTCTTGCGTCAGAAGCCATATTTATTTAGTAATTTTTTTCAATTTTTAAAAAATAATTTATTTTCATGGCCATGTTCAGACGACGAGGGTAAGTTTTAATTTTTCTATGCATACATTAAAGCTTTCTGCTTTTTCTGCTGCAGAACATTTCGAATTGGAAACTTAGATCTTACTTTTTAATTGCAAATTTTCTTGTGCGCATTTTTTGACTGCCATAAAATTCTTTTGATGTCAAACCAAAATTGCATCTTCTTTTATATTTTTATGTAGAACATTTAGATGCTAAAAATGGGGTGAAATGTTTGGTACTTACCCTTTAGATAATTTTTTGCACGATCACTATTTACATATGCTGGGTGTTTAGTAGCATTTACTTTGCACATGTATCGTATTTATTTTTTCAAATGGTTAATTATCAGAAAATATGGTAACTTTCTCATTTATTTCAGTTGAGTTAGTGTGATGAATTGCTCAAGTTATTTTAAAAAATTTTCCTTCAACTATTTTCATTTCTATTCTCACTACAAATCATAGAAAGTTGATTAATTATATCGTTTATTGTAGAAAGTTATATTTAAAGGTGATACCTTCTGATTGTCGTGAAGTTATAAATTGCTATTGTTGCTTGTTTAATCGTTCAACATTTTCTGCACTCATTTTCTTGCTTCCCCACACGAATCTTTCTATCTTTATTGTTTTACTTCGTTTGCATCTCAGTCTAATATTGTATATTACTGAGAACTCCCTCTTACCGATTCTATTTTAAATGTTTATTTGTGGTTGATAATTGAGAATTCTGAAAGTAAATATTTTCAATTTGTATGTATTTCTTTTTGCTATATTTCAGGTGGTGTTCCTTCAGCTCGAAAAGAAGTTATTCGGCATAAAATCCGAGCAATTGGTAAAATGGCTCGCGCATTTTCGATATTGAGGTTCGTTTTTTTTTTCTTTTTCAAGTGAAATGTTTGAAACCTAAATTTGAATTTACATGCGTTGTGAGAAAACTGTCTGTTTTTATGTAAAATACTAACATTTCTACAAATATGTAACTGCGCTTACATACGAAGTGAATAATTTTTGCGTGCTGGGCGCTTGCTTTGCTTCATTTTTTTTTGCATCTCATTTAATGCTCAGTAGAGCTTTAAACACCTGTAGAAACACGGTCTATCTGTAGATAATGTTGTAATAAATGTTTAACCATGGAATTTTACTATTCCTTCATCAAGCGATTTACTGTCGATTTTTTAAGAAAAATGAAGAAAAGGGCTTATTTATAAATGTCAACATTCGAAGAATAATATATAAATAGTTTTTTTTAGTATTAGAGCAATGCTTACAATAGAGTTTTGAGTTTTTTTCAAGCAATTCACTGTTGTGAATAGCAGTTATCTGTTCCTGTAGCTTGAATTCAAAGAAATTTAGAAGTCTTCAGAATGTTTCAAAATGATGATTATTCTAAACCCAATTTGACTGATGCGTCACTGCCGGATATTTATTTCTGGTCAGTTCCGTGCTAACATATCTTTGTTCGCATGTAAGTTTGCTTTCAGGGAAGAAAGTGAGTCTGTACTACAATTGAAAGGACTTACACCAACCGGCAATTTACCACTGTTCACACTCCAGGAAGGCAGACGTGGAATTCAAGAGGGTACTTTACTTTTTCACTTTTTTGTTGGGAAGAAGCTTTTGGCTTTTCAAGTCCGAAGAATAAGCATTGTGTTACTATTGATTTTTAAGTTGAATAACAAACGAACTCAAACTGCCGGAGTTTGTTGATCATCTTACAATATCGCGATCTCTAGTGCATTGTTTTTTCTAATTTTTTGGTATCTCCGCAAAAGTTAAGTACAAGATGCTTCACTAAGTTTCATCGTTTAAATATTACATTGCTTCTACGATTTGTAAATAATCTTATCGTTACAGGCAACATCTAACGATTGTCTTACATTACTGTTTTGTAACAACATGCATTTTTGAAACTATTGTTGTTCTTTTCAGCTGTTGACATTAACATAAATAGCTTACAAACGAAGGAAAGATTTTCTGATTTCATCGCGTGAAAGATAAAGTTATGCAATTGTTCCATCTCTTGATTTTTGGGTGGGGGAGAGTTGCCTCATTTATATTCCCTCCGCTTATTCCTCGATTAGTGATATTTGCAGTGTTATTGAATTTTGCCATTTAAATTCAGTATTAATTTTAATCAGAAATAATTATATGTAGTATTTGATACTGTCCATGGCTCTAAAAGTCAATGCATTATTGAAATTCTAATATTTACTATGCTTTCTCTCACGCTTAATCATAGAGCGTTTCATTGTCTGAAAGATAATAATTCTACACTTTTTGCATGACTTGTAAAAGTAATTATAGTTACAGAATCATATGTTGTAAATTTCAATCTTAGAATTATCAAAATAGTTTGTTTTTTTGTAGATTTCTAAAATTGGTCAAAATTGAATTTCGCCATTTCAGTTATTTCTCATAAATTTGTTTACTTAGTGTAGGCGTGAAAGCGAAACAGTGGTACTCCTGAAAGGTTTGAGTCCAGTTGGACGGTTACCATTTGGTATTTTGGCGGGTGGCAAACTGGCGCTCGAGGAGTGTAAGTTATGTGAAACTAACCAGAGTGCTCAGCGTGTACCAAAAATTTTCTTTTTGGTAACATCAACTTTAATTGAGATTATGATACGAAGAAAAAGCTACTTACCTTACCTTTAGTCAACTTCGAATTTTGTGGGATGGATAATCGATGAATGACCGATTTAGTGTTCAAATCTGCTAATCGCCTAGTTGTTTGAATGATTTCTGAAATTGGAACACGACTTGGTTTTTCGAGACCACGCGGGAATTTCGTTTTTTGCTCATAATTATGTGAACATTGCGCGACAGACTGCGATATTATTATCGTTACTATTTTTAATTGCTTCATGTTTTGCTTCATTTTGTCTACACTCCTGTGATACTGTAACATGGTTATCAATGAAACCGGTAGTTTCTTAAATTGGCTTAGTTTCTCTCCTTTTTCTTTCTCCTAAGACAATTGTTTTTGTGGTGTGTCAAGAATTGATTACTGATTTGCTAATACCAATTTTCTTTCTTGATGATTACGTAAATGTTGGTTATTCTAATGTTCTAAGACCTAATTTGCAAAAATGCAATTTTGGCAAGTTCATAAGTTGAGGTGCTCATGCATTGCAAGGTCATTCGGAAATATCTCGTTACCGATTTATGTGTAGTATTTACAGCGTTATCTGGTTTGGAACCTGGCCATAGGATCCGGTCATTTGATGAAGCAAAGCGACTAGATAAAATTAATGAACGTATGCCTCCGTCAATGGCAACTCCAGTGCAATCACCGTTGACTAGTCCATCAGCAAATCGGGCAAGTTCTCCTGTTGGAAATAGTACAACGACCGTTAATACAGAGACAACAGCTGCAACATACTAAAACTATTTGAGCGAACGTATTGTTTTTTGCTGGTTAAGGTAGACCATTTGACAGTATCTACTTTTAATTAACTGACTTTTTTTGTATGGTAATGATTCAATGTAATTATGATGCTCGGACGATCGTATCTTCCTTTACGATCTGCATAGTTTGCAATGTACACTTGAAAAAAGAATTTTCTTTCATTTGGTCAATGAAATAATTTTTTAGTTAATTAAGAAATATACAAATGCACCAATTATTCCCCATAAAGAAAGCAAAAATCAAACCATAAGTTTGCTAATTTTTTATTTTAGATCAAAACTCTTTGGTGCTATTTGTTACTCGTCTTCAATTCACGTACATTTTTGCAACTCATAATTTAATTCACAACCTTTTCGTGCCGCTTTTCTTTTTCTTATTTTAGAGGGTTTATTTTATTTGTGTATATTCTTAAGCTTTATATTTTGTTCATACTGTTTAGGATTGATGTCAGTAAGGAATAAAAAAATGGAGTGAAGAATTTTTGAGACGGGATCTGATCAATTTTTCAAAAATTTTGTATGAATTATGAAAAGATATGGCTATAACTTTTTAGTTTTATTTTCAAAAATTTTCATCAGTTTTTGGTTGCGATTAATACAAACAAAAATAACCTGTGAATGTTAATTATTGTCAGTCGTGTATGAAACTTTTCAAAGTCATTTATTATATATTCTATGAGGGAGTTATGATAGTTTTTGTGTTTTATTTTTTCGTTTCATTCTTAACTCTTGCTGGTAGCTGTCGCTTTATAATTCAAATTTTTTATTGTTACAGTGGTACCAGATCATTTCTTTTAAATTCTTAAAATTGGATATTTTATGATAATACCAATTTCGAAATTCATCAACAATTTCTTTGCATTAATACCAAAAAAACCGTTATTTATGCCATTTAAAATGTGTGAATAGCGATTATATCAAAACTAGTGTTGTGAAAAGATTTGTTACGTACGTAATAAAGAAAGGGAGCAGAAGAGATTTATTTTTAGTTCGTGGTAGAGTTTTACATTATTACTTTCTAGTTCGGACTTGCCAGTCAATAAATGTCTTTTTAAAACTGGTTACTATTACTTTACTATTGTTAAGTAACTAGAATAGCTAGAAACAGTGGTGGATAAATAACCCAAATCGTAATTAAAGGTGAAATGCAGAAAACGCGAAGCGAATGCAAGATAGTGGTTCCTACTTTTTTGTCCTGAAAATGAAATGCAAAGAAAGTTACTATGTTATTTTGTTACATAATAAGTCATTTCAACTATATCAGACTGTCCTGACCACATTCTATTGCATTTTAATCTAATTGCACTATTTTCTCTAAATAAGTTATTGTATACGTATCATGTTTTTTGCTGTTACTGAAGATGATTCTTAAGTGCAATAAATTGCTTGCAAAATACATTCTATGGGAAGTTGTCGTCATCGAGACGTTTATTCAGCGTATGTTCATGGATATAGTGTAAACGTACTACTACCTCATGGTAGTATAAGCAAATGCTGGAAAAAATCGATGCGAGGGGTTATTGTGTCATTATTCGAAATGTGCTGTTGGTACGGAGTAGTAAAATTGTGTTAGTTTTGAAGTAATCGATAGTAGTAGTGAAGTGTATTCATGATTTAGAGTTGTGAGAATGGAAAATGTATAGTAGTGTGCATGCGCATACGTTTGCCAGTCATGATGTGAAGGTTAAAGTGTTCGTGGTGAAGGTCAAAGTGTTGATATCAGTAGTTAGTGAGTGATTTGTAGAGTAGTGATGTTTTAAAGCTACAATTGTATTATTTTTTGATTGGTTGTACATAGCAGATGTCGATAGCAAATTGCAACAATTAAGCAAAGTTATGGATGAATCATTTGTTTCATCTTTGAATATCCATCATAAGCTGCTGCATTGGTTCAGGAAACGATTCATTCAGTGGATGATCAATGAATTGTGAGGTTTGAAGATGTTAATTAGTTGACTGTAAATTGTCAACAATTGCTTTATTGCATGTGGAAGTTATAGATTTGCTCACTTACTGCTTTCTTCATGACATTGGATAAAAGAGCTTGCGTTGAGAAGCATTGTACAGATGGACATTTGATTAATTATTATCTGGACTGCATGCTGTATTTATTTACGAAGCAGACCAGCTGGTGAATAAGTCAGTCATAATTTTATGTTTGATTGATGATATTAATAGAATTTCGACTCTATAATGTTGTGCACCCATCTATTTTGGATAAGAAAAAAATTTTGATAAATTTTAACTTTTTAACAAATATTGATTTTTTAGAAAGAAAAAATCGCTTCGATTTTTAACGTTCAAAAAGTTGTGATATTTCGATTATTTTTCCTTTGCAAATGAAATTTAGCACAACTTGTATAAATACAAAATATGTGTAGAAAGTTCATTTCATTCGTTTCACGTGATCCACTTCTATACTACTACATGTCTAACTTTTGCTAATACATCCTCGTAATAGCGAGAATCGGATAGCCAACTAGTTTTATTCATTTCTCATAGCAATTCTCGTCTTAATCTTTAGCTTAGCAGCGTTCATTCACCTTTTTCTTACGGTTACTTACAATTTATAAAACTAGACAATACAGAAATGACTATATTTGAGTGAACTAAATGAAGATAAGATGAGATTATCGTATTCAAATTTTAATGCTCTCATTTAGCTAATAGTAGTTATCGCAGTCAAATTAGCTTTATATCTTTTAGCATGGTTGTTCAACATTACTTCATCAAAGTACGGTTATAGATTTTTTTAAAAGTTCGCTCTAAAATCTGAGAGCGATTTATTGACGAAAAACAACTGCTTTAAAAAAAATACAAATGTTAACTGCATTTGAGCATGATTTTAACTTTGACTTCATATTCTGTTGAAGCAATAAGTAGACAATTGTTATGTAATAGAGACTATGTTTTACTTATTGCTGTAAGAAAAATGTATTCTCTTACTTTATCAAATTGTGGATGTATTAAAGTGTGATAAGTAATCATCTCCTTCATGTGATCGGTTTCTATTTATAACAAACTTAGAGCTTCAATTATGAGTTTTTTAATGCATGTTATTGAAATTTCTAGTGTTATTTGCATGTCGTTATGCGTAATCGTTTTTGCTAAGTTAATCAAATATTTACTGAAAGTTTTTTATTGCATATTGATGAGTAAAAATTTGGATTAAAGAAGAGTCATCTCGAACTGTCTTGTTGACTTATCAACTTTTGTACTAGGAAGTGTCGATTTTTCTCTCTGATGTTTTTTAAATATCAACTTGAACTTTACGGACCGATTTTTTCTAGCTGGAGTCCACATTATAAAAAAATATGAATAAGACCTTGGATTATAGTAGCAGTGATAGCAATGGAAATGATCGAAAACATTTGCGTTCGTGTCAATCCTCAATGCAACAATCGAGGTTTTGCTCAAGTTTGCATTTATTTTATTTTATTTCTTCTAAGTTTATATACTTTGAAAATTTTTGAATTCTGAAGAAAATGGTTTAAAGAATTTAATGCAAATTCAGTATCAAGTATTTGTCATTGATTTTTAAAAATTAAGGCACCTTATTATGACAATAAATATTGCATTTATTCTACTTGTATTAATTTTTCATTTTATTTGATGATTATGGATTTTCCTTTTTATTTCAGAACTAAATTTTCAGGTGGTTTTCCGGTTTGCGTGCTAGAATTTCCCACCTTAATATGCCAGAATGGCTTAGTCAACTTGGGATAGGAAATTTTAATTACATTGCTCCAGCAGAAAAAATGGTGCGTGGAATCAATGACAGTTTTAAGGAAGAAGTTAGACGTCCATGAAAATGAATCAATTAGTAGTGAGGAATTCTCACAGTAGTGTTTTTCAGAATAAAAAAACCACAAAAGTAATGAAAGAAATTATGCATAGTGTTTTGTATGACATAATTTGATTTAGTATCGTGATGTGAATTCGGAATGAAATATAATAAGTTATCTTCAAAAATTATCGGAAGAATTATTAACCTTTCTAAAATTTTTAGTTACACAATAGCGATGTTAGCAGAAAGGTAAACACAAATACTGATCAGCCACAAGAAAGGCTAGAGAGTAATTTGTATAAGCTAGAGACTAAAGTTGATCCTGGATTAGAAATCAGTGGCGTGAGTTTTTCTGAAATCTTCATTTATTTTAAATTAATTTAGTTTCATATCTTGTAAGTAATAGACAGAGAGCAGCGCTAGCGCTGTTACTTCTGTTTTCTTATTATTTTCGTTAATTACTTAAGTTTCTTAAGCTTTATTATTAATTATGAGTGCAAAACCTGCAGCTTCAACATCATATTAATTTTTGCAGGTAGACACTATAGGATCTTGGTTGTGGGAGGAAGCCGATTATCAGGATACTCTTGCTTTACAACACTTTGGTCCACTGAGAAATCTTATTACAGGTTGTACCTATCCAGGAAAAGGACACGACTTTTTGTTAGTCATTTCATGATCTAATTTCGTAACATTATAATCTGACTATAATCATATTTTTCAAAAACTTCAGATCAGTTTCTGTTGCTCATCCGACTTGGTGTGATAAATGTGGAGATTTTATGTGGGGGTTTTTGACAAAGGCTGTGAAATGTGACAGTAAGTTAACATTTTTTAAGGAAATAATTTATGTCGATGAGCATGAACTGCTTTTGTTTTATAAGTTGAAAAAAACAAAGCAACCAATGCATTGTCGCACATTTCAGAAAAGCTTACATCAGTTATTTCATATTTGATTTTGTAGATTGTAATTACACGTGTCACGCAAAGTGTAGGTCGTTGGTAACACTTGACTGCAAAACAGCTGACAGCACTTTGAGTTCTTGTCAAGAATTATCAATGACTCCAATTTATCCCAGTTTAAAAGTGTTTGCTGAAAGTGACGATATTTTAGAGGTTTTTACTTTTCCATTTTTTAGCGCGCTAATTTTCAAGTTTCAAATATAAAAAGTTAACAAGTATGTTACTGAAGGCTTTAAAAAATGTTTTACTAGTGTTTTTTTCGGTTTTTTTCGTCTGCTAAATGCATTGTAAACAATTTTCAATCATTTCAGGAGCAAAAGGACGAAACAAGTGGTTTTGTACAAATTCATATGAATTTTATGCGGCCTATCAATGTAGTCGCTGGGGACTCACTTTCATTTTTAGATGTTACCAGTGAGTCAGGTAAATTTTATTGCTTTTGAACTTTTAAGCTATTTTAGTATTTTAAAATATTTTCGTGGGATATTCTAAGTAATCAGCTTACATTTAAATTTGTAGATGGTTCTTTTGTACATCTTTTTTGAGGGTCACTGACTACCAATTCACTGAGAACAATTACACCATTTTTCCTCCCAAGAAATACTGTCAAAAATGTAAATATAAGTAGCAAGATGACTACTAGGTAAGTAATTTTTGTTGACTATTCATTTTCATCTCTTACTCTAATTTATCATAGTTCAACATTTTTCTATCCAACATTTTATGATTAAACTTTTTATTTTTTCTTATTTTCAGAGAAATGATCGTAACATTATTGAGAAAATTCAGAGTGGCAGACAATCCTCGAAAATTTGCATTATATGAGCGCTTTTGTGATTTTTCCGAAGATGCAGCTGTGCAAAATTGTATACTTTTAAAATTTTGTTATTATCAAACTTATAATTTTTTCTTCTCTCGATTAAACTTAAGTTTTGGGATTTAAGATAATTTGGTGCGTATTCCGGACGAATCATATCCTCTCATTATTGTGCGATCTTGGGAAGAAGAAGGTAAAAAAAGGCAGTTAGTTTTACAGGAAAACGACACAGGAGATATTTTGGTGCGTTTTTAGTTCAGACTTATTGACAACATAAAACTTGCTAATTCTTGCTACTTTTTTTAATTTGTTGCTAATAATTAATGTTGTTGTGAAATAAAGTACTTGAAGACCTTTTATTTTTAGTGGGACATGTTTGAAATACCAGAACTTGAAAACTTTTTAAGAATATTGGAAGACGAAGAGAAGCAGTATTCTTTTAGAATACGACAGAAATACGATGCATATAAGTTCACAATTTTTTCTACTACACTTGAAAAGCATTTTTTTAGTTTCTTTCTAATCAGTTATTTTCATATGCACCATATGGTATGGATAAATTTTAGATGGTATTTGGATGAAAATTTGCACAGTCGAGGTGTTTCAGTGGATAACAATGAATTCAATGCAGTAAAAGCAAATTCTTGTATATCTACCGATGTTTAACTCGTTCTTGCTACAAAAGTAGAAATTTTTGTTGTATTCAGTGGGGGTGTATGTATGCTTGTTGAACTTGTAGAAGGAATTTCAGAGAACCATGGAGCAATTTCCGTAAATACCTGAAGGTACTGTCAGTGATGAAGAATAAATAAAAATTAAACTTCGCAATATACTGGATATTTATTTTAAGGTGTTTGAACTGTTAACTGTGTTTTAATTTTAAAAATTTTTAAGTGATTTATCTGCAAAATACATCTTGACTAGTTTTTGTTAAATTATTCACGACTCCAGTACTTATTTTAAAAAAAAAGTTTTAATGCCAAGTTTAGCAGCTTTTTAAGCTATTTTAATATATAAATATGTAACATGAAGGTGAGGTTACATATCATGAAATGTACAATGTAAATTTTTCCATACTTTTATCTTTTTGCATTGAGGGGGAATAAGTTTTAAGAAGAAATGATAAATTATGTAAATTGATTTTGTGTCTTTATGTTCACTTTATTTGACAAATAGTAACCTCACCTTATCTTTTATTATGAATTATCGTTTATTTATGTGCGAACTTTTTAGTTCTAGCATCTTGTTATGCAATGTTATTCGCTGTAGTGTGTAATTTTTGAATGAATCTGTCTAACTATTTCATTTTCCCTGTTCCACTGGAAATTTTTTTTAATTCAGAATGTTTCAAAGTCTTGTATTAAAAGCCAGTAGCTCGAGTTTTTTTGATGATTTTTTTCATACCGATCACATTTTAAAGTAGAAATTAGTGAGTAAATTAGAATAGTCTAAGAACGTTAATGTTGGCTTTATGAAATTGCTTAATGTGACACTTGGGCCTTTTCTACTCATTTTTTCATCAGTGCATATACGTAATGGCAAGAACATCACTCATGGGAATATGTTTTTAAACACTTTAAAAAATTAATAACAGTAATTTCGGTTTGATGGACTCTGTATGAGAATTTAGAATGGGTTTTTAAAGCACAGGGAAATTTTTTAAGTTTCATAATCACTTATGTCTGTTGTCTCATTTATGATTCTATTTTCTAATTGTGACTGAAGACACGTCAAGCGATAATTCTTAAGAGTTGTCTGTCAATTATGCTTCTTAATTTAATCGAAGTACATATTGATTTATTTTGTATTTATATTAGTGTAAAATTTCATGAGTAAATGTTTTTTTGTTGTGATTTTCAAACTCTAGTCAATTTTTACTTCATTAGCAACTAAATTTATTCGTGTTTTTACTCTTTACTGATATGTATACTTGCAAAGTTGAGATTAAAACAAAACATTTTCAAAAAATACTGCTGGTTCAAGTATTTCCGATTATTTTTGTTTATTTTGCAATAAATAATTTTATATTATGGAACAAGTACAATTATAAGCAAAAGATTGGTAACTTTGGATCATTATAACTGATTGTTTGGATAAATCTAAGAAGTGGTAAAAAGTTTTATGGTGTTTGGTAATGTCTTTTTCTTATATTAAAAAAGTAAAGTAAAGATTGTTTTTATTATAATAAAAGAAATCAAAAATGCATATATACATACATTGATAACATTAAAGTGGAGCTTGCAAACAAGTAATTTGTGATCATTTAAGATGAACGTAGGACAACTTGTTTTGTTTGCTTAACTATTATATCTTAGAGTGTGATGTTTTTTTCGTTTGTAGTAAATATCTTTTCTTTTTTGTACTTGTGATTAGCTAAAAAAATTTCAACTTGGTTAATTGTGAAAAGAAAAATTTTTGATTCTTAGTTGACTATTGCTATTGAAAACAATAGAAGTTGCAAATGAAGCAAAAATATATTCTGTCAATAGTTTGTTTTTTCTTTACATTTGTAGATAACTAAAAAAAATGAATGAATAAATTTTTGATGAGTTTTTTTTGTTAGCTTAGCTTTGATCAATTTTATACGCTTGTTTTCAACTACTGTTGTTTGTATATGTATAATTTGAATCTAACTTCTATCATGTATAAATTATTGTCTACTTTCTATTGTTTATGCTTGTTTATTATGTAATGTTTCTTAAAGATCAACGCTTTAAAAAAAATGTGTTTTACAAATTTTTACCAGTACTCATTTTTGATAATAATTCACGCAAGCAATCAATTTTGAGCTTAAATTTGAGGACAAAAAAAAAGAAGTAATCTGATAGAAACATATCTTCTCAATATATTTTCTTTTCAAGAAGCTTAAAAAGGACACTAATATCGTTCCTATGACTGAGCTATCATCCTTCGTTTTTTTATGCAATACCTTTATTTATTTATTTATTTATTTGTTGTTTGCACGTTGATAATTGTTTTTTTCTTTCTTTTTTTTTGATTATTTATAGCAGTTTTCATGTGAATTTCCTAAGCAAAAATTGAATTGGTTTTCAAATGATGGAAAGAAATTTTATATTTTGAATTTGTTCTTGCCTATTGCCTATTTCAGTATTTGCATGCAATACGAATGTAGTCATTTTTTTAGTCTAACTACTACATGGTATTATAGAATTTGGAAAAAAATTGTGGAATTTCAAGTTTTCTGGAAAGTCATAAGCATATAATCATTTAACTGATTAAGCAGTTTGATTTTAATCATATTTCAGTAATTTAAAAGTAAATGCAATACGTCAAAAATATAGTCTATTACTCTTTTACACATAATTAAACCATAAAAATATGTTAATCTTCAAAAGCACAAAATTTAATCGGCATAAATGCGTATAATAAAAAAAGAAATTATAAGTTAATGTTTGAAGAAAAAATATAGAAAACTTCCGAAATGTGTCAAATAAATTTAAAATAGGTGATGAAAAGTGCTGATTTGTTTAAGTTGGATTATCAAAGGCATTTGAAGAATTCTTGAGGATAGTAAATGTGATAATTTATTATGGATCCACTCCAATAACGCGTTCCCGCTTTTCGTGCATAACAATTATTTGGATATCTGTTTAATAGCTTCATTCATAATTTACAAATGTTCTTATTTCGATTTTTATGATTTAATATTTTTTATTTTTCAATTTTTCTCATAGAAATACTACTAGTGGCTGTTAAATAAATAATATTTAGATATCGTTATTAGTGAAGATTTTGTGGTTAATGATAATAACATTTTATTAGATTGAAACTTTATCTCACTTTATCAATGAATATGACTAGTTATTTTTGAAGAATATGGAATATACATCATTATGTAACCTCATTATCTGCTTGGAAATTAAACTATTGTGTAATCAGAGGAAACAGAATATGATCAAACTGTTAATCATAGATAAGAAATAGCATTATGGCTTACCATTAAACATATTACGTTTGTGGATATTTATTACATATTTCCAAGCATTTGACAATTTTATCAATAATTGCATGACTTATTCTGGTTCTTTTATGGCTAATATCCTCAAAATTCCAAGAAGTTGATGAATAATAGTAAAACGATGAAATTATGTTGCAATATGTGTTAAATAAAGCTTTGAAAATTTACATTCTCATTCAGATTGAAGCACGTGTTAAGCGATATCTATGCTTAAATTTAGAGTATGAAAGCGATGAGGATTAAGTTGTGGAAGAAGAAGCAAAGATATTAATCAAAAGGATGACTCCCATGAGTAAACTTTCTTTAGCACCATATCTGTCCAAGTTTATAAATAATAAGAACAGAACAAAATCTAGCAAATAAAAACAAAAATTAAACAAACAGCAAACTTGGATGTCAATTTTTTTCAGAAATATTCAAAAAATTTGCAGTCTTATATATATAGCAAATATATATAAATCTGCTAGAATCTAAAATTAGTAAGCTATAAATTTTTAAAAATACTTCCTAATATTACCTTCATAAACTTCGTTAAATTAAATTTGTTTGTCGAGAAAAGCAGTCTTTGAAGAGACTCATTAATATCATTTTTAAAGATTCTTACAAGCTTGAATATGATTTCATGTTTTCCCAGCAAATATATTTATATAATTTAAAAATGCTTCAAGACGTAATCCCAAAATATTTTAATATATGATTGTCTAGTAAAAATGAATTTCTTTTCAATCATTTAGCACTTGTTTTTTGTGGAGATTTTTTACACGGAATAAGATCTTTTTGTGATGCAACATATTTTTAAGTTATGTATGTGCTAGAAGACTTCATAATTTAATTTTATTTCGAATGATTTAATGAAGTAAAAAATCCTGCTTTAAGTAATCTTGACTGTATGCAAAACTAATTCTACAAAACTAAAATTTAATTTTCTTCCTAAATTTATAATTTGGAAAATATTATGCAGCAAATATTACTTTTAATGATGTCAAAACATAAATAAACTTTAGCACTGATTAAATTATTTTGATGGAAAAAAAAAGCAAATAATAATATATCAGTGATTAATAAAATGCAATAAAATTTCTATCTTAAATATTCAAATCAAAATTCTAAAAAATGTTCAACTTTTTTCACAACACAAATAAACTTGTGCAAAAGTTTTGTCGAAGAGTTTGAGAAGTAGTAATCAAGTAATTCAATTGACTGAGCTTGCTTCTGACTATACTATTTTAATGTAAATAATCATACTAAAATTGTTAGAATAGAAAGAAAATATATTCAATTTTTAAAAGACTGTGCTAGTTTTGCATGTAATTTCTTTTCACTTACTTTTCCTTCTAACAATGCCACTAAATTGCAAGCATGTCATCGCTCAACTTTCTTTATATGTAATTATATTCGTTTGTACATACACTATGCAAATATCAAAGTTGGCATTTCAACAAGTGTTAAAATTCTACAGCTTAATCAATCACGCATTTTTCTACCTTTCTTTTTTTACTTCTTTAGTAGTAGTGTATTTATTTCCCTCATTTATTTTATTTTTTTATTTTCATTTTTTGCTAAAGAATAACTAATTCATTTGAATACAATTATTGGCATGTATATCGCTTATTATTTCTAGTGAGTAATTTATTTAAAAGTTGCAAAACAAAACTACTATAAAATTTAAACTGTTTGATTGGATGGA